GCTCAGGAATCTCTGCATGTCGGAGAAGACGAGTACAGGTACACACACACACACACACACACACACAGTAGGAAAGACAACCATACTCGAAGGAAAAAAATAAAGAGGAACTAAAGGAAGGACAAAATTATAAAAGAAGGATAAGAAAAAAAAGGGGGATCGAAAAAAAAATGCAAAAGAATATTAAGAAATAAAATAGAATTAGCAGTTGATGGCAACAGGTGGAGTTAATTAACTATTCCCACTCTTCCCCCCCCCCCATTGTTCACACTAATATATTTACCTCATAACATCAATTTTTATTTTCCCTGAAATTTATGTTATACCTTTTCTAGTATTACGAAATGTTTGTTTATCTTTCAGTTCTAGAGAAACAATTATCTCTGTCTCAATAATTTTACGAATGTTTGGTACTGACAGAATCGACGATACCTGATTTGTCAAGTGATCTGTTCGCATATTATCTTCCCATGCGCGTATATCTTTATTCGTCCTTTCCTATCTGCAGCTTGCCGTTTCTTTAACCCAACCCCCCCCCCCCTCTTTTCTCTCTCTCTCTCTCTCTCTCTCTCTCTCTCTCTCTTTCTATGAGTCTCTTATTTCTTTCTCTTTCTCTCCTCTATCACTCTGGGTCACGGCTCTTGACAGATGTAATCTCGAATGTTGATTTTATTTATCAAATAGCCTTTTCAGGCAGCAGTTCTCAGTGAAAAGAAAAATGAAGATTAAATACACTGAGTAATCTTTTGCACTGAGAAATATCAGCCATTTTTTTTCCCAGAAAGTGAGTTGTTAATCTTCAATAATAATATGAATGATGTTATTCTTTCAAACACTTCCACCCCCTCTATACCCTTCCCAGTGGCGGACCTACATTTTTGGGGCCCCTCGCAACCCCTTCTCATACAGTAGACCCGAAATTTTTAAGCAATGCGTACTAAAGTCGCTTCTGGGGCCTCTCCGGGATTAAGGGCCCTATAACTTAAGTTTCACAGTAGATCCGTCCCTGACCCTCCCTAACACTCCTACCCTTCACTCCCTTCCCCTGAACTCCTACCCTTCAAACCCCAGCACTCACACCCTCCGCACCCCTCCTTAACACTCTCCACACGCCTTATCCTACTGTCATTTATCTTAAGAATCTCGCGCCAGAAGAGGAATGTGGGGGATGGATGTCGAGGAAAAACTGGTCGTAAGGGCGTAAAAAAAAGCGTAGAGGAAGAGAATTAACAAAAGATGAAGAGGGGCGAATAAATGTAAGAAGCGTATGAGGATAAGGGGTATTCCCAAAACATATATTTAAAGTAATTATAAGTAGACGCTATTACGACGTATTCAGGCATCATTTATCATGTCAAACGTGAACGACGGTCCAACACTACTGAAGTTAATTATTAGCGTTTCAGTAATGCATTACACTGTAATAGCGATATAGTGATGGATTACAATATTACAGAGAAAAAATGTTACAATGTAAGTGTTTTGAAAATAATACAGTAGGACAGTGGTACAAGGTATATGTTACAGGAGTTATAAAATGCTGCAGCGATATAATGATACAGTACTGTTATATGATACAGTGGTACATTTATACAGTGATTCTTGGATTCATGATGATGTAGTACACTGATACAGGTATACAGTGATGCATAAATGAAGAGAAAAAAAAGTGGAGGAAACTTAAGCCATGAAACACTATTACCTAATTAAACAGTGAAGCTTTCATTTGTGATTGTATAATTAGAATTATACGCACACAATCACACACCAAAAAAATTACAATTATCTATAGAATATTAGGTTTAAACCCTATTGCCTACGCAAGGATTATTAAACCCGCCTTCTTTCGGATATAGAAATCCCCTTAATATGTTGTAGAAGGGCCTTTAGTAATACCTAATCACTCTTGACACTTTTTCCCTTTACTTTACCCGTCCGGGTTTACCCCGTACGGAACGACTTATCGGGAGCCACTGTACACAATAAATTGTACACAATACAGTGTAATTATTTTTGGGTTGAAAAACGAAGTGTTTATGAAGTACAAAATATATTTCTGAATAAAGCGATATAAATTATTAAAAAAAAATGGCATTATTGAGGTCGAACTTTAAAAAAAAAATAACATACTGTTAAGGTTTTTTGTCATTTATTTACCTCCAGTCAAATATACTTGTATCTCTAATGCAGTATAGGGATTAAAACAGATGTTTAACAACTCACGGAACGGATGGGGTTTTGAACACATGGTTAGCGAGTACTAAAACTCGCTTGCCATGGATTCAAACCCCGTCCGTTCCGTGATTTATTGGCAATCTTATGATTTCGTGAGTCAGTAAATGTTAAGCACACTGAGGTTTATATTCATCCTGGTGTACATACATTTATGATAAATTAGACACATGTGCAACTCTTGGGTATCTTTATTGAGTTGCACATGTGTCTAATTTATCAACATGTCGGTTCTCTGAACCATTCATCTACATACATTTATATTCGTAAAGTTTTAAACATACTGTCCCAGTAATAGTAAAAACCATCCCTTTATCGAGTTATGGTACAGTGGTATAATTGAAATTATAGAGCTCCTGTTATATCTTAGAGTATTTAATTTACACGCCATTAATTTCACACGGATGCAATTCTTTACGTGAAGTCATAACAAAATACTAATTAAAGAACAAAATTGTACAATATTGTGACTGGAACAATACATAAATAACCCGCACATAGGAGAGAGCTTACGACGACGTTTCGGTCTGACTTGGACCATTTACAAAGTCACAAGTGTAAAAGCTGAGAAATTTACATCTCTTACTGTCTATACGCCGAGAGTTGATGTAATTCCTGTTTAATTGATTACAATAACCTTGAACGTGGTGTGCTGGTGATGTATATAGGTTTTAAACTAGATAAATTAACCAATCACATATTTTCTTGATGCTCTGAGACTAGTGTACAAAAATTACTTAATTGATCAAAGTTAAATCAGGGATTACTTAAGAAATTTTACTTTGGGACGTAGATATAACACAGGACTTCGTGTTAAATTTAAATAACTAGGATTATTGTTAGATTATGATCAACAGAATTATTGTTAAATTCAGAAAGGCTGAACTAATGTTAAATTCAGCTACTCGTGTTTACTGTTAAACTGAGATAACCTAGTTGACTTTTTAATTAATATCAACTGGATTACTGGTAAAAGGAGACAAGAGGATTCTCGTTAAATAAGAAACAATAGCCTGCTGGTGTTTACCCTGTGACAAGCTTGCTGATTGTCTTCTGTCTCACGAACACGCAAACTAGCAGAGAAATCCTACGAACTTTCACTCGAATACGCAGATAACCTGCACAGAGGAGAGAAAGAGAACTTACGACGACGTTTCGGTCCATCCGGTTCTATATGCGGGTTATTTGTGTATTTTTCCAGTCACGGTATTGTGCCTTTTTGTTCACCTACTTGAATGCACTATACCGCCTCTCCTCACTTAACGACGGAGTTCTGTTCCTAAGATAACGTCGGTAAAGGAGTACGTCGCTAAGTGAGGAAAGGCTGTATACATTTTATAATTACGTTTGCTTCCACACTTTTCTTATTCCCATACTATTTCCTATCTAATTCAGGCCTGGTCTAAGTCCGGGTCAGGGTAAGGATGTGATTACCACCTCAACCGTTAACAGAAAACAGGTGACGGGGATCAGGGATAAATTTAGATCACAGGTGAGCTGAGGATTTAAGATAACACGGTAATACCGAAGCCATGCTCAGGGTTTAGCCTCGGGCGAGTAAAAGATATACTGCCTCTAATTACACAGTCGGGACAGGTGTTCTGTTCGCTAATTGCAGAGCCGCGACAGGTAAGACCTGTGATACAGAGGCTGATCTGTCGTTAATTACATGACTGCAGTGCAAGCGATGGCCGAGTCACAACAGACTTGACGTTAATTACAGAGGAAAAGGCATATTATTATTATAACTAATATAATTATAAATTATAATTATAAATAATTATAATTATAAATTATTATAATTATAAAAATTATAAATTATTGGAAATTATAATTATTATAAACTATAATTATGAATTATAAATTATAAACTATAATTCTGAATTATAATTATAAATAATTATGAATTATAATTATAAATAATTATGAATTATAATTATAAATTATAATTATGAATTATAATGAATTTTTATTATAATGGGGATGAGATAAACCCGTAGGGGGCATGCAGAGCCTGGAGAATAGGTGGTAATGAAGTTTGATCCATGAAAGGGGGAGGGTAACGCCACCTCCTTGGATCAAGAACTCTTCATCTGAATCTAGGCAATTCTCTTGAAGGGACAACAGTGTGTTGATACAGCAGAATAATCGCAGATGCCGGCGATAGGTTCTTGATCCAGGGAACTGGATCTAACTTCCTCCTTGGATCGGACTTGACTGTTTCGCATGTCCCAGGCGTCGCATGACCCCCTCAACGGGTTTAGCGCTTCCCATTGATGACAATAGCACATAGGCACATAGGTCTTTATATAATTCAACAGAATTTTCACCAATTGATAACGTCACATGAACTCTTAAAGGTAATCAGAGAGTTCTAACAGGGAGAGTAATAACGCATAGGGGTCGTTACTAACAGTAGACGTCGTTACTAACAAAGGTCGTTAGTAATAGGTGTCGTTACTAACAGGAGGGGAGGGTCCCGACAATAAGAGATCACTAACAATGGGGAGTCGTTACTAACGGAGGGTAACACTGGGGGTAATTATTAACAGAGGGTAGGTAGGTAGTTACTAACAAAGGGTGTCAACAGAAGGTAGTTACTAACAATGGGTATCGTTATCAGCAGGGGATAGTTACTAACAATGGGGGTAGTTAACAGCAGGGGGTAGTTACTAATGGGTGTCGTTACCAACAGTGTAGTTACTAACAATGCAGGTCGTTACTAACACTGGCTCGTTGCCAGACGGTTATATTAACAGAGGGGGGTTATTACTGAAGATAGTTATTAAAAGAGGGTCGTTGCCAACAGAGGGTAGTTACTAACAAAGTCGTTACTAACAAAGAGGGTCATTGCCAACAGAAGATAGTTATTAAGAGGCTCGTTAACGGAGGGTAGTTACTAATACAGGGTGAATTACCAACAGAGCATAGTAACTAACGAAGGCGGTCTTTCCTAACAAAGGGTCGTTACCAATATGAAAGTCGTTGCCAACAGAGGGTAATTACTAACAGAGACTTACAAATAAGAGGATCGTTACAAACAGGCTATCGTTCGCAACAGGAAATTCTACTCCATTGACTGGTAAATTACCAAATATCATGACAGATAAATGACAAATCTCTAAATAGATAATTGGCCATTAACAGCCAACGCAACAATACTAATAAATGGTAATTTCACATTCCTTTAATAGGCCATTTCACAGCAATAGCAAGTAATTTACATTTACTTTAAGAGGCTCGGTTAATAATAAAAATAAGAGTAATAATAGAATGTTCGTTTGCAATTGCAGGGCGCAGAATTGCAACAGAACGTGACAGCTGGGGTGATACAAAGCAACCAGTCTCTGGTGTTACAGAGAGTAGGACGTCACTCCTCTGGCCTCTACACCTGCAGAGCTGTCAACATTCATGGTACAGCCACCTCGAACGCTCTGCAACTCAACGTCAAGTGTAAGTACTCCAGTTGAGAGAGAGAGAGAGAGAGAGAGAGAGAGAGAGAGAGAGAGAGAGAGAGAGAGAGAGAGAGAGAGAGAGAGAGTGAATTCATGTTCTCTTTACAAAACACAATCGTCAAATACGGGAAAACACACACACACACACACACACACACACACACACACACACACACACACACACACACACACACACACACACACACACACACACACACACACACACACACACACACACACACACACTTCACTGAAAGAAAAACTATATAGCAATAGGGACACTTAATCAGACGCTCAGGAAACACAAAGCACTTTGGTGTTCTTACTGTTTCCATGACTACAATCCGACATTGACCCAATAAGGCACAAAAGGAATCATACAAATAGCAGTTGCGTCAGTGAGGGACTGAGTGAGTGGGAGAGTATTAGACAAGGATCCACCGAGAGTGAACGTATCTAGGCTGGCTTTCATGATCTCTCAGACGTACTTTCAACTGCGCCCGAGTCAATTAGAATTCACTTCTCGTACCCAAACTCATACCTGGTTAATCATAACTGCCTCAGTTAACTGAATGACACAGAATTGATCGCAGGCCGGCAATCAGACGTATTCCTTTGTTTTTGACCTCCATGACCTGACCATGCTGCAATGCGACCAAACCAGCAGCCGAGATATAACTGGGGGGAGAGAGAGAGAGAGAGAGAGAGAGAGAGAGAGAGAGAGAGAGAGAGAGAGAGAGAGAGAGAGAGAGAGAGAGAGCCGCTAGCTCTTCCCATTAGCCGAAACATCTAAAAAAAAAAAATAATAAACAATCAAGCCTATCCTACAGCCCATCCGGTTGTTCCTAACTTTTCCATCCCAGGAGCAGAGTGACTGACTGCACCATTTCTGGACCAAGCAAACGAAGAAAAAATTGAGCTCTTCATCCCTCGGCACAAATCCAAGTGTTAGTGCGCACACACAAGTAAATACGTATACGCAATCGAGTATTCAAACCCCCCTCCCCCCTTACACACACAAACACATTCACTAAAATTATTTTTATTCTAATAAAGGGGATGCGCTAAAGTCATTGGGGTCAAAGTGCATAGTAAATGGAAGGCATGCAGGTTTGATCAACTGAAGCGGAGGATAGGTCCACTACCTTGGACCAAGAGCCTCTCATCAGCATTAAGGCACTATATGAAGCTTACGATTTTAGCACTTATCATACTAGGCTTAAGAAATACATGATTACGACGTACAGAATTTCCAGGAACATTCTCATGGTAGACATGGACTGGAAATAAGAAGCATCAAAATACTGAAGAAGGACTTAGCCGCAGGGACAGATTGTAAGGTAGATTTTGAGAATAAAAAACAATGAAGTTGAAGTAATTGTTGGCGCAAACTCGGTACATGGATTTAAAAGTATATGTAATTAAACTTAAAGCTAAGAACTAGCTTCTTAGTCGATTATCGGTTAATAGGAGGAATATAATTCAGAAACCTTAGAAAATAATTGTTTTGAACTCTATATACAACGAATGTCAGACAAAATATGCAGCCTCAGCCTAGAACATAATGTGATAAAATAAGAGTGCAGCAAAACGATAAAATACCAGAGGGAGGAGAGACGATACGAAGGTCAACGGAAATGTGGAACAAGACGGTTGAGGAGCAAACATGAATAGGGTGAGTTAATAACCCAACCAAAATGTTGACCTTTTTCCTATCACGGGAGGGGGCAGAAGGGAGTAGAAGAAAGAAGAAAATGGATAGAGAATAAGAAAGCGTTAATATTACCATATTCATGCAGACTGCTTTGCCCGTTGGGGTCAGACACCGAATGGAAGGGATGAGGCAGAGGTAAGGTTATGGGAGACAATCAGATTTTAATCCAAGGGGCAGGTATTTCAAGGTTCTTGAATTCAGAATCCTTCCTTGACATCAAATCTTATCTTACGCCGCTCCCAGCCAAGCTCCACCTCACCACTCCCACCTCCAACTCGCTTTCTGCTTCTCCACATTACCGAATATATTACTCCATTTTTCTCTGACCGATTTCTTCCCACTCCCTGTCCCCTCCCCCCCCCCAAATACCTTATCCTGACGACCTTTAAACAACCTCCATTCTCCCCCTCCTAAATCCTTTCCCCAAAGATTTAACATACTCAGCCCACTATACTTTCCAATTTGGGTTAAGGACTGTAGATTGAGAGTGGGGAAGTTTGGTAGTAAATAAGAGGACAAATTGTGAGAAAAGGAAGGTTTCGTTTTTTTTTTTTTTTTTTTTTTAGGAACAGGAAGACCCAAGGGTCACGAGTAAGAAGGGTGGGGGGAAAATGTGTAAAGATTGGTTTAATGAATACTAAGTGGGATTAGTTATGTAAGGAGGATGGAGGTATTGGGAAAATTGGTGGAGTTCGACTGGGGACCAGTGGAACTAGTGAAGTTGAATGCTATGGTCAGACCTCAGGATAGGATTGGATTCAAGTATATGACATCCCTTCAATATCCTTCAGGAGGTTTGCGACAGTTAAAAAATGATAAACCAGGAAGGGCCAGGCTGAGTAGACTATTTTTACTGGTTTGATAGAACTCTTAGATAACCACCAAAGATTAATCCACCCAAAAGTACTAAAGTGGATCAGGGTGTATCTGGGTAACAGAAGACGAAGACTAAGGGAGGTCCCAGGACGGGAGTACATATCGAGTAAGGTCCCTCAGGGATAGGTATTGGTGCCACTATTCTTCCTGATTTGCGTTAATGATAATATATCTTTATTTACTACAAGTACATGCACACTGTATACAGGATTACCCGACATCAATGACATACTACTATATAGAAAGCCCCTTGTTATTCAGAGCATTTCGGGCAAATTAGGTCAGTTTTGTCCCAGGATGCGACCCACACCAATCGATTATCACCCAGGTACCCATTTTACTGGTGGGTGAACATAGACAACCGGCGCAAGGAAACACGTCCGATGTGTCCAGCCTTCGCCGGGAATCGAACCCGGACCCTCACTATGTGAACATAAACGAAGAACACTGCAGCAGGCCTGTTGGCCCATACTAGGCAGGTCCTTCGCAATCCATCCCACTAACAAAATATTTGCCCAACCCAATTTTCAATGGTACTCAAGAAATAAGCTTTGATAATTCTATTTACCCAAGTGCAAGTCCCACTCAAATCCAACCCCTCTCACTCATGTATTTATCCAACCTAAACTTGAAACTACCCAAGGCTTTAGCCTCGATAACCCTACTAGGCAGACTGTTCCACTCGTCAAATAACCTATTTCCAAACCAATATTTTCCTGTATCCTTTCTAAATCTAAACTTGTTTAATTTGAATCCATTACTGCGGGTTCTCTCTTGAAGCGAGAGCTTTTGCCACCAGGCATGAGCTGACAGTGGTGTGAGGACAGAGAGATCCCTGGTAAACCAAAACAGGTTAAACGAATGGTCAGACAAGCGGTTGCCGCTGCATAACTGGAAACGATGCATGGTCATTAAAAAAATGGGATGGGAGAAACGAAAAAGTAAGATGCGACCAAAATGCTGAGAGCAAAGGACCGGTAACCCATCTCCTGTATTAATTACCAAATATGAAAAGAAAAAACTTTATAAATTTGGGATTTCTGAATGTGTGGTGATGTAGTGCAGCTGATAAGAGGAAAAAAAGATGGGTGGTATACTTAGGCATCTGTGGAGAAGGCAAAAAGGGAATGTTTGAAAGTATAATGGTACCAATACACATGAGTGTGAGCCATGGATGTAAAGCTGGAGGTAGTGGTGTCGTGTCTTAGGACAATGTGTGATGTAAATATTATGCAGAGAATTCGTAATCTGGAGATTAGGAGGAGGTGCGGAGATACTAAAAGTATTATCCAGAGGGCTGAGGATTGGTTGAGGTGGTTTGAACATTTAGAGAGGATGGAGGAAAATATGTCGGCTTGGAGGTTGTATAAATCTGTAGCATGGGGACGGTAGACTAGGGGTCGTCATAGGGAAGGACGGAGTAAAGTTTTTTATGGGAAGGGCTTGGACATCCAGCAGGCATGTGTGACTCTGTTAGGACTGAGTGGAGGCAAGTAGTTTTTATGACTCCATGAAGGGATTCAGGGAAACCGTGTATCTGGATTTGAGTTATGCAGGTGGGAAATACACGGCATGCACTCTGAAGGAGGGGTGAGGATATTTGTAGTTTGAAGTGACATTTGTACTATAGTATCAGCACGCCACTGGCCAAACAGTGATAGCGAGTGATGGTGAAAGTGTTTTCATTTTCAGATCACCTTACATCGATGGGAAACGGCCGGTGGGCTAAGAAAAAAAATTAATATATAGAGGAACAGACAGAGGTAGAGACCAAGGGATACAGCTGGAATCCAAAGACACGGAGGAACATCACAATTTTCTTGTCTCAGGGTGACAGAGAAATGGAATGAGCTAGAAGAGGTGTATATAGGAAATTCACACACCTCATTAAGAACATGACTCTCAGGGGCCGTAAAACCACTGTCCAGTAAATGTAGGACAAGGCAGGTTAGAAAATGGGACAGCAAGAAGTCTTTCGTCCTTCAAAAACCTCTTTAAAACAAGTGGATGTAGAAAGCCTACATCGTCATAAGAATAAGTATGGTAGGGCTTACCAGGGGTGAACCCAGCCACGGTTAGTTAAGAGGCGAGGCCACTAGCTGAGGCTCGACTCCTGCAAACACAAACAGGAATAGGTGAATAAAACTAGACGAACACAAGCGAGCGCTTGGGTATGCACCTCTTTACCCTCTCTTATTGGCGGAGAAAATGACAAGGGAGGGCATAAATGCGATATACAAAATCTTATGGAGAATTGATAGAGTAGGTAATAACAGAATCTTTGAATTAAGAGGACCAGGATCAAGGCACAGATGAACCATAGGAGTGGAAAGAAATATTTCCTCAGTTTCATGGAGGCTGCAAAGTGGAATGACTTGGATGAGACAATGGTGGACGCGAACACTGCTTAAAGAGTAAATATAGCAAGCGTCAAGAGAAGGAAATCAGAGACGTTAATAAAAGTAGTCTAGGAAGCGGGACCAAGAGCTTAATCTACTGTTGCAAACAACTTCGTGAATGCATGCACTCACAAACACACACACACACACACACACACACACACACACACACACACATTCTTAAGCTAAATCGGGAGTGTCTGGGAAAATATAAGCTGAAAATGTCGGAACAAAACCAAACATATTCTGGTGGCAGAAGCATCACACAAACTCTCCGGGGGCCGCTTTACAAGCTGGAACCAGAGCTATAACCCTTGAAAGCATGGCTGGTGTGTGTGTGTGTGTGTGTGTGTGTGTGTGTGCGTGCGTGTGCGTGTGCGTGTGCGTGTGCGTGTGTGTGTGCGTGTGTGTGTGTGTGTGTGTGTGTGTGTGTGTGTGTGTGTGTGTGTGTGTGTGTGTGTGTGTGTGTGTGTAACTTGGCTGAAAATGGAATTTTTATAATTTTATGATTTTTATGGTAGTATTTATTTTAGAAATGAGTTCTGTTGAGTTTTAAATGGTTAGAATGTTTGTAATTTTTATGCTTATTGTATGTTATTCATTTTTATGTAAATAGTGTCAGAGTTTTAATCATTGAATTGTTGTGCATTTATGTTCATTTGTGGTTTTATAATTTGTTTGCTCTTTGTATATCTATATCACTAATATATTATAATTGAATGTAAATTACAGGATAGTTTAGGCGATTGAGGAAGCACTAAGCCCACAAGGGTCATACAGCACCAGTGATGGAATGCATTTAGGTTTCACTCAAGGAATGAGAATGAAGATACAATTTATTAGATCAGTAGCCTTTCACCGGCACCGAGGCTCCTCCCTTGTAGGGTGCGAGACTAACCACTCATTTCTTATTCAACACCCTATTACACCGATGGAAAATTAATATGAAAACCTTAAAGAACGACTTCCTAAACCTGTATATAATCCTTGGCATTTGTTCCAATATGTTAAAGCTATTAGAATGCCTTCATATAGTAAATATCTTAGGGTTAAAATTATTTTCTTTTGAGAGAGTTTTGAGCCTAACAGACGACGTAGACTAGGAGAGAACCTTCAACTTCCCCAACAGTTTCTCCGGTGTGTTCCGCCGGACAAAAGTGGGTCTACGGAGGGGGTCGTCACCAGCCAGTAAACGTAACTTGCCGAGTAGAGGCGTACCCAGAGGCTACCAGCTTTCGTTGGGCCTTCAACACCTCGAGTGAGTTCGTAGAGCTGCCTCACGAACGCGTATACTCAGGCCGCAGCCGCAGCTTGGTGGTGTACACGCCACAGACCCACCATGACTTCGGTTCTCTCCTCTGCTGGGGCCGCAATCAAATCGATTTGCAGCACCAGCCATGCGTCTTCCATGTTGTCCCCGCTGGTTAGTAACTGACACAGAATGTATGTTAATATATTTTATGCGAGCTTTGTTGTTTTTATGTTCTAGTAGAAGTCAAGATTCCTAGTAAATGATCAAACTATTTCTATGATTATATCAATCGTATCAAACTATTTATTTCTGCTCAGCTTTAATATAAATGCGAAGAACCCTATGAGTTAATGTTCACCTAACTGTTTTTTCCAAAAATGTGTTCACCGACTTGAAATTAAATATTAAAAAATTACATGTCCGACTTGTCTCATTTTCGTAAGGAGTTTTTAATTCTTATTTCCAATACAAAAGGAGAGATGGTGTTTTAATTGAACTCTATATGTCACATAGGCTATTTTTATTAGCATTAATAAAGTGTTACTAATGGGTTCACGATTAGTGATAAGGTTATTCGAGTTGCAGCTACAACCACAACCAGCTTTTCAACGACAGATCCCCAGTATGCACTGCAAGACTTCTCAAATATTTCAAGGCGCCTGAGATTGTACATTTTAATATTTACATGAAACTCAAACCCCGTTTGGGTCATTCAGAGTGGTGGTGGTGGCGGCTCTGTTCTCTAGTTATCCAATCACGAGACAAGAACAGACTGTCAACTCAGAGAAGACTTCAGAGCGCAGTTTCATGGCTTTGTCGTAGTCCACTGGGATGCCAAGTTGCTTCCGGATCTTAATGACAATGAGAATGTTGATTGCATTTCTATTCTGCCTTCACGATCTGAAGTGCAACATCTCCAGCGTCTAGGCTGCACAATTGCAGCAAGACTGCAGGAGCTGAAGGAGTCGGTCTAACGGTTATAAATTGAGGAATCAAGAAGGCGATTAGCTGTCTTGCGCTTGATATTCCGTCATATATAGATTATGTTCCCAATTCGAATAGAAAATGAGCAAAATACTCTTGCTTAAGTATCTTCGGGAACTTATTTTTAACAGTATTCACAATTCGTAAGTGAATGAAAATAAACTGACTCCAGCCAATGTCAAAAATCAATGGCAGCAGAAATAAAAAAAAATAATAAAAAAAAATGGTTTTGAACTGGTTATTCTTTCCCATCAGAAGCTTGGGTGATGAATCCAGTAGGAATTTTATTTTTATAGCTCTGCATTATGCCCGATGGGATCTAGTTTGTAGTATGTTTTATTATGTTTGTTGGGAAAAAAAATGAGAAAATATGTTTGGCCTGACTGAATACCCTCCACAGGCGGTGGTAAACGTGTTAGGAAGAAGCCCTTATATGCTAGGAAGTCAAAGGCGCACGATAAGCGAAGCACTGCCGTAGGCCTACTGGCCAATTCTCATTGGCTCTGCAGCTATAAAATAGCGCTGTATGCTCCATAAAGGTTTGAATTTTCATCTCTGAAGTTGCTTCCTCTCTCTGAATGTCATATTTTTTAAACAAGTTGCAAAGTTACTCCGAGTTCAAAAAAAAAAAAAAAACTTATGAAGTATGACATGTAATTTTTTCAGACACGTCGTACTTTAGAGAATACATTTATTTTCGCCTCTTAGATCCTCTAGTTGATAAAAGAGCCACCAGAAGACAGCTCATGATATCCAAGGTATAGAAGACCCACCAAAGGAAAGCAAGTTAAAGCCTTCAAATGCCGAAGTCACTCTGATATCGAGGATGTTTTCTCCGGATTAGGTCATGAGCGTCTTCAGAACCCGGGGTTTTCAGAGAAGCAACAAATACGTGCCATTTGTCAAAAAAAAACTGAGTGAGATCAACGATACAATAAGAAAAATTACTCTAGAACCAGTAATAATGAAAAGAAAGTATTTTTCTTAAAGTTTTAATCGACCAACGGGTCTAAGGAAAGTCAAGTTATTTTACCTCTGATGTGTAATGTTTAGCAAGATACAAAAAAATATGTGTGTTGAAAATGCATTTGTCCAGAAAATTTCTTATGGAATTAACAAATACAATTTACAGAATAACTGGGTAAAATTACACTCCTCACAATCCAGAAGTTATAACTGTATAAGTTACTATTACATGGTTTACATAGAATTATAGAAAATCTTGTTTTCTCACAGGCTGTTAAACATTGTAAAGCTGAGATTATGCCTTCTGCAACAATTTCAAATAATTATCATTCTCATGCATGTTTTTGTGGCCTATTTCTAAACTTCTATTTTCTTCCTCTCTTGGGCCGCTACTTTCTCCATTAATTAGTTGTTTTGCTTTCGGTGCTTCCTACCTTTTAAAGCAACTTTCTCTTGAACTCTACTAATCTATCACCTTCTCTGTCTGCGATGGGTCAGGAGTACCAGAGCCAGTGCACAACTGCAGTGCTTGGCACAATGGGAGTGCCGCTGGCGAGGTGGTGGTGTCGTGTCAAGCTGGCTGGAGTGGAGGTCTCTCTCAAAGCTTCACTCTCGAAGTTCGTCACGCCCCTCAGACTACCTCTGTATCTCAAGGCTCACCACCACCCGGAAACCTACTGGCTTCTCTGAAGAACCAACCGGAGCCACACTTCACAGTCACCGGTCTGGCGCCTGGGACGGAGTACCACTTGGTTGTTGTAGCTTCCAATGCTCAGGGACCCGCCGTACCCGTCGTCTTGGGCTACTTCACACCCATAGACGTGGCCGAGAAGCAAACCAGCGCAGCAGCGGCCGAGTCCCCGGGACCCAACTCTCTAGTAAGCCTGGCGACAATAGTGGGCGTTGTGGTGGGTGTGGTGGCTTCCCTGCTGGTGTGTTCTGCGGTGCTTGTGGTGGTGGTGGTTCGAGCCCGTGCTTCCCACACCCACTCCCACAGCCACACTAAGATTGTTTACGACAAGGCTTCCGCTGCCACCGTCTCGAGACCTTGTGACGAAGGTGGTTTTGTGCAGCAGCAACAACAGAAGCAGCAAGGTCCTGATATTATTCTCGTCAAGAGCGGTGAGTACAGTATAGAGAGAGAGAGAAAGAGAGTGTGCGTGTGTGAGTGTAAAGAAACAAAGAAGCAGTCATACAAAGAAAATACAGAGGCTAAAGTTAAATAAAAAAAATAAATAGGAAAACAAATTGAGAGAGATGGTGGAAGGCAAACAGAAGGAAACAGAAGCTTCAGTGGAACTTAAAAGAATAACATAGGTGGTACACGTTGTTTCGTTTCTTGGTGTTTGCCTTTAATTTTGTCGCGTTTCTAAAAGCTCTCTAGTGCAGGCGAGAACTAATTTACTCTTAACGCAGCAAAATCACACTAGGAAGCACAGACAGGAGACATTTAGCTTTCTCTGCTTTATTCCATTACTTTCCTCCCCAGTATTTTAACCTTACTCAATCTCATTTCTCCTTCCATACTCCGCCCCCCCCCCTTTCGTCTTTTTCCTTACATCTTTACCTTATCCCTTCATCCTTCACATCCAGACTTTAACCCCTCACATCCATCCTCCATGTGGCCATAGTTTGCAGGCCGGTATGACACAGTGCTAACCATTACCACCACCTGCCTTCTCCTCAGTTAAGTTGACTCTGCTGTGCTTGGTGACCTATGACTAGCACGGAAAGGATGCATCAGACGTACGTGAGTCTAACTTATTTAGTAGCTACAGAAATATGACCTGATAGGAGGATGGGTGTATATTTGAGTGCTACAAGGGTACATTCACTCGGAAATGTATGTGACTCAGTGTGTGTGTGTATGTATATATATATATATATATATATATATATATATATATATATATATATTATATATATATATATATATATATATATATATATATCTCGAGATGTTATTTTAATCACTGTTTTAGTGACTATCCATCACTAGTAGAGTACAGGTTACTTACAGCCATAATGACCCTTGTGTTGTCATGTTTTAAATGTAACAATCCATATTATCATCAGGCCGTTGTGGTCACTTAAAGAGACGTGAGAATTTACAGGTTATTGTAGAATCCTAAATTTAGATTACGATCAACAGGATATTATTGTATCACAGTAATAATCTCCAACATGAATTATTAATCCAGAAAAAAATTATAGTGATTTTCTACAGGATGTTATTTTATTCTGAAGATGATTATATTCGTGGAGGGAAATGAATCAGCAAAGCCACACTTGGCTCTTGGGAAATCTGAGGAAATCAAGTTTGACTATGAGGGAATAACTCGTAAATCCTTAAAAAAGTAATGGTCTGTTGCTGGTTATTATGCTATCTTGAGAAGATTTATTGATCTCTTGCAGCTAAGGTTGTCTGTTACCCACAGAGAATTTCTGATCTAGTGAAGGTATGTCAGTGTTTGTGTTTTTCAAAACGGCTAAATTTTACTCTATCTAAAAATATTAGCAGCTTCCTAAAACCATTTGTTACAAAAGGGATTTTTTTGACCTAAACACAAAAAATTCCAACGCTTACAGCCATGAGCAAAAAACATGGAAAAACTTAATAAACACTGAACACAAATATTGTAACACAAAATTAAAATAACTAGTATTATTTAAAAAATCATGAAAAAAAAGAAGAAAAAAATCCTAAACTCTCTCCCGAGGTCTGTACAAGCACTTAGGTAATTATGAATAGCATGACTAAGGCGGGCGAGTCTAAACCGTGTGGGTATATCGTTAAAATAGACCTACAGTCATTGGCCCGTCACAAATAGGTGACAGTGGGTGAGATTTAAGTCTCCTATCCTGTCATTTATGTCTTTAAATTCTCAATTCTCAGAGAATTGCATTTAAAAAAATATTTATTTTATATTCTTCATTACCCTGCTAACCAGTTATGTAATCCTTTAACTAAACAATTACCTCGTTAACGTGACATTCTATTTGACGTTCTGTATAAACAGTTGAAATTTATCCAAACATTACCACTATAAAAAAAACTGAGGCTTATTCAATCCTTCGTTTAAAAGCTGAAGGTTTCTCTAGCCTACTGTTTATAAGCGGTAGAGGTCTATCTATCCCCCCTTTCCCTCTTTTTTCCACGTCCCCCCCACGACCCTCGTCCATCACCCTGCTCATCTTCTCAGACTGGAATGCATAAATCTTTTCAATACCAGGGAGGTAATGCATCACGGCAGGTCCTGCAGTATCTCTCTCTTCTCAGAGGAACGCCTTCCAAGTCTCTGCATATTTCATCACACTGTCGCTTCAGTCCCATGACTTCTCTGTCGTATTGTCTCTCCAACACGCGCGTACACACACATTCTTTCACATTCTTTTCAGTCTATATCCTTTCTTTGCTTTGTTTGTCTGTCAGTTTGTCTGTGTCGCTCTCTCTCTTTGTCTCCCTGTGTTTCTCTCTCTTTGATATCCCATTATTGTAAAGTTTACGTCGTATATACATTAATTAATTACCAACAGGTCACTTACGTCTGTCAAACTTCGATTCTGACGAAAATTGCGACGATGATATTGGTGACAAATAAAAAAAAATGTAGTCAAAATACCGTAGTGTCCGAAACAATTCACCAAATAACATCTGGGTTTGTATTTTGTCAATGGACCAGAACGTCAGAAGAGTGACAAACAGGTTTCGTAAAGATTGGCAATGTATTGTTTCTGGTTTATGTGAATGGCACACCAGAGGGGACTGAGTCAGATGTATCTATGTAGATAATGTAAAATTAATGAGAACAAGAAAATGATACAAATAGTTCTGGAAAGTCATCTTAACGTTTCGCTCCTAAGTGCTGATTTTTGGTTTAAAAACTATAATTCTACTAATTATGGTACCCTCATTTTAAATACTATTAGAAGTTTTGGTATTTGGGTACTAGACAGCAACCACACTGGAAAGTACTACGACAAAACGGAAGACTGTCCAACGTTTTACACACTGGCAGGACTGCTGGGGCTTCATTTACTCATGCGAACTTATAAGATGGCAAAGAAATTCCTGTTAACATCTACTTACAGTAAACATTGAGCATTACTCGTGTGTGTTTCCTAATACTATTCAATTTCCTGTACAGTTTCCCCTCCAGGAGCGATTTAGGATCCGACCACCCATATCAATGTTTGTAATAAGAGGTGACCAAAATACCAAATGCAGTAAGCAGTTTATTCCTCTTTCGTCTACGCACCACATGCTATGGAAGAAAAAAACCATTTGTCTGTGTTATGAATGAAAAGAATGTTTCTCAAAAAAAAAGTATTCGTCGAGTTTTAATACATGGAGATTAGTGAATTAATTAAGCCGTATATGAGAGAATGAGGGCTAAGAAAGGAATGAAAAATGTGAAAATGAAAGAAACAGTGATATTATATATATATATATATATATATATATATATATATATATATATATATATATATATATATATATATATATATATATATATATATATATATATATATATATATTATATATATATATATATATATATATATATATATATATATATATATATATATATATATATATATATATATATATATAATATATATATATATATATATATATATATTATATATATATATATATATATATATATATATATATATATATATATATATATATATATATATATATATATATATATATATATATATATATATAATGTAAACTGGGATTATCTATAGTTAAACTGATATTCGAGAAGTGGATAATAGTAGAGCCAAGTGAGAGAATAACTGTTTTGGGAGACCATAATGCTAAAATGGTGGACAGTATTATGGAGGTTGTAGCAAGAAAGTTCGCAGTGTCAGAGGTAAATGATAATAAGGGACTGTTAATTAAATTGTTTAAAACAGTGTTCTGGTAATGGGCAATACATGTTTCAAGAAGAAAATCATGAATTCTTATACGAGGTATGATGAAACGTTTAACTAGAACACCTTGCTAGATTGTGTGCTAGCAGAAAGAAAAGTTATGGGGTAGGCTTTCGTAATAGCATTTTTAGAGCCTGTAACTAGCCTAATCAAAACTCAGCAGCAGCTGGAGCGTGGAATTCAAGATTATGCCAGCGGATGAGAGTCATGGAAGTAAACGAATTACGAAATCAAGGTTCAGATTAACATTGGCTGGAAGAAATGTTAGTAGAAGAGAGTACTGAAGAGGTGTGGTGTTGATTACAGAACGCGGTACCGGAGTGTGCAGTAAATGTTTACGTTTACTGGGGGGTGGGTACAGAAGGGAAGAGAAATGATTGTTGGACTGAGACGAGAATGATGTTAAGGGAAAAAAGCTTGTAAATGACTGCTTACAAAGCCAAAATAATTATAATTAAACTAAATGGAAAATATAAGATTTTAAAATACCGGTAAACATAATACAACCATAAACATTGATAATAATACATAAACTCAAAATATACATAAAACTTTGAAGATACATAAATGTCTTTTACACTTCCCCTCTTCATAACGTTCAATTTTTCTATCCTTTACGTCACTTATCCTGTTCCCTGTCCATTCTTTTCCTCTCCCTTTCATCTTTAGAGAATCGAACCCTTCGACGTCCATCACTATCCCGGCAGGCGCTGACGGGCACCGCTGCGCTGTCTTCAGCTCAGGCTTCGCCTTAAGAAAACCAACTTCAGCATTATTGACCTGAGGAAATTGGAAGTCTGTCGGAATTAGCTGGCATTCGATTGTTTTAGTGGGACTCGAAGTGTCGGGCGAAGTCTGAACTTTTTCTTTATTTGTTGTTTTTGTATTTCTTTCACTTATCTTTTTATTCTGTCAAATTAATTCTCCTCCTCCTACTCTTTCTTGCACCCATCCCTATTCACCTTTCCTCCAATCTTTCCTTTTACCCGTTCGTACACCCCCACTTGCCTCTCTTCTTTATTTCTTTCCTTTTCCACTGTGATATTCCCCCTCACTACTTTTTCATGTCTTTCCTTCTAATTTCCCTAGCTCTTTTCCTTCTCCCATCTTTTCTTGCTTCCCCTCATTAATAAGCTTTCCCTCTCTTCTTTACTCCTGTCTTTCACCCACTCCCT